GCCTTTATCTTTGAACTCTATTGTCTGAAATTAATATTATTGATCCACTATCTGCTAGTGTTTGCCTGCGATGCCTTTTGTTTTGTTTTAGCCTTCTTGCATTATTTTACTTCAGTTGTGTCCCTTATTCTCAGAATTTCTCCTTTTACAGAGAAATTCAATCTTAAATTTGTACCAGTCACTGATCTGTTAGAATGTATTTTTGCCATGTTACTTTATCTCTAAAATGCTACTGATTCCTCTTTTTGATTAAAAAAGAAAAAGAAAAACAAACAACTTCCTACCGTCTGTTGGATTTTCTTCTTTTTGTTGCTTTCTTTTTTATTCTAATGGTTTGAAAACAATATATCTCAATACACATTTTTTCTAGCAGTTATTCCTAAAATTGTAATTTACACATTGATACTTATTTCCCAGTCAATGTCAATTTAATTTCATCTATATTCCTCATCATTTACTGTATTGTCTGAATAAGACAAGAATCTTAACTTTTATTTCCCCTGCCATCACCACTTCTCATTTAAGATTATATGGAATGATCATCAAGAGTATTATCTTTTCTTGTGATTGATAACTGCTTGGATGTGAGTATGTATTGCTCTTTTCTTTTCACTTAAAAAAAAAATTCCCTGACAGTTTCTTGGATCGTGCTGCATTTTGCTGTAGGATATCCTTTAGTAATTATTTCAGAGAAGGTGTCTGAATATTAAACTTCCTATTTCCCTATTAGTCAGGTGTTGCTGCATTAATGCCATCTAATAATACATGACCTTGTGACTTATAATGGCAAACATATTTTCCTTGTTTATGCATCTCTGGGTCAGCTGGAATTTGGTTGCTTCTGGTTGTGCTTGTCTGGGTTTAGCTCCAGCTGTAAGTTGAATTTGATTCTGCGCCACATGTCTGGTTCTGGGAGCAATAGCTCCCTGGGGCATATTCTTCTCATGGCAAATCACAAGAGCTCGAAAGGCCAGCAAAACCATGCAGACACACCCCAATTTTTGCTCATATATCATTAGCCAAAGCAAGTCACCTGGCCAAGGCCAAAACTAATGGGATGGGGTTGATAGGGTCCCACAGTCGAGGGCGAAAGTGAGTAACTGGAAGCGATAATCCAATTTACCATGCCATAACTGGAAACAGTTTTATTTTTCCTCACACTTGAATGATGGTTTGAGTATAGGATTTTATGTTTTTAATTTCTTTTCCTTCTCTTTTTTAAAAAAATTAATCATACCCTCTCTTATGCCTTGAACATTTTGCTTGTCCTCTTTTTAGTAGTTTTTCCTTTAAAAATTAAAATTTTTATTTGTAAAAGCATATATACCTATAATTGGTGCCAAATTAATTATGTCTATTTAAAGATTATCTTCTGCTTCTTCCTAATCATTTTTCTGGATAAGTTATTTTTCCATTTGTGTGTTTGAAGCTTTTTTTCTGATGACAGTCTTCTTTAAATACTTATGCTTTTGTCGGTGTCCTTTTCAGTTTGGTACTGAAGGTTATCTGACTTCTATTGCCCCTTTATTCCAGTCTTGTGATGGGTGGTATGGGGCAGGGAAGGCTGTGCAGTGAGTAGGCTTCTGTGTGCTATGGTTTGAATGTGCCCCCCAAAATTGATGTATTGGAAACATAATCCCCAATGTTACAGTGTTACGGCATGAGGGGTCTACCCTCATAAATGGATTAATGCTGTTAGCTGGGGAATGAGTTTACTGTCTCAAGAGTGCATCCTTATGGAGAGTGAGTTTGGCACCTCTCTCACTTATGTGATGGATGCCATCCTGTTATGACACAGCAAAAGGCCCTCACCAGATGAGGCTTCTTGATCTTGGTCTTCCCAGCCTCCAGGTCCTAAGTTAAACAAAGTTCTAGTGTTTACAAGGCAGCCAGTCTGTGGCATTTTGTTGTAGCAACACAAAACAGGCAAAGACACCGTGGATGGGGGCTCAGCCACCGTCTGACCTCATCCCTCATGATGTCTTGTAAGCTTTGGGTCCTTTAAGCACCCTTTCTGGTTATCTGACTTAGATAAGGATTATTTTCCTTTATAAAGCATACTTTATTCTTGTCTCTTGAGATTTGGGATGAGAGGAAAGGCAGGTATGTGTGCTCTGGCTAGTGTCTTCTCTGATGCTTTTTTGGGAGTAAGTTTTAATAGGGAAATGAGAGCCCAAGAACTCAGGGGAGAGAGAACAGGAAAGGGAGTCTCTTCCTACAGCACAGGCCTATCTCAGACTCTGGGAACCGGCACTGGGTCGGGGTGCAGATAAGGTTTGCTCTTTTCTTCCTCCTCCTTTGGCCTCTCTCTGTGTCCAGCTCCCCTGTGCTCAGGCAGGTTGAAGGAGGAAGCTGGCTGTGGCTCTGGCCCTTCCCTGATGGTCTTTTCTGGCTCTAAGCGTCCTCTGCCTGGTTGCTATCCCCATAGTGAGCCTCTTGGGAGGTATATGTGTATTCCTTAGAGGATCCAGTAGGCTCCCACTGCATAGTTCCCTGATGTGGGAGATCCCCTTGGCCTCAAACTTTTCTTTTTGATGTATCCTTTATTCAATTCAGATAAGGGCCTGGAATTCTCTTCCAGCTGAAAGATGTGTTCATTCACATGCCTAACATTTGTCAAGTGCTGTTATGTGCTAGGTACTTTGCAGGGGCTTTTTATCCAATAGAAACCTCTGTGTAGAATGTTAGTGCTTACAAAATAGATGATGTGGCTTTGTTTCTGTTTGTGGAGGTGGGGAGATAGATGGACTGGTTGGAAAATGTTCTACAGAGGATATGAGTTCTACGGAATCTTGAAAGATGAGTAGGCAGCATAAAGGCAGTGCAGTGGGGAAAGCAAGGCTTTGAGGTAAACAGTGGGTCCACAGCCCAGTCCCAGGCAGTGAGGCAGTAAATTTCCAAATCGCTCTGAACAGGGATGGGAGATATGTCTCCCCTTGGTTTTGGGTTTCAGGAAGACACAGATGGTAGGACTGAGGAGAAGCGATTGAATGGGCAGGTTGGATTAGATGGAGACACAGCTTAGAGGCTGTTTAGAGTTCTGAGAGCTGAAAAAATACCCAGGAGAATATTTATGCTTGGGAAACTGTGCATTTGCATGCACACCCAACACACACACACACATACACACACACACTCTCTCTCTCTCTCGCACGCACACACACACACACGCACACACATACAACCAGATGCAAAAGCTGCTGCTCCTGAATCATTGCTCAAACTGGTGCCAGGCTGCATTTGCCATGGAAGGATAGAGTCCACAGAAACAACAGCTCCTGGGTTAATTTCCTTAAAAAGCTGCTTTTCTCTGAGTCCTGGGGAGGGAGCTGAGCCTGAGAAAGGAAGTAGGGCCCCAGGGTGATGTCATTGCCCACATCTGTCAGTGCAAGGTGGGAAAGGGAAGCTTCAGCACAGCTTTACAGTCACCTGACAGCTCGGAGTATCTGGAGGGGGATGCTGAATCTCCAAATAACTCTTTTCACGGTGCATCAGTGGGAGACATAAATGTGGAGAGAAAGGGTGGTTTGTCTGATCCTTATACGTGTTGCTAATGAAGGTTCAGCAACTTTGGCAAAGGCCATTAGGAAATCAGGGTATGTGATTATTTTAGGAACCTGTCTTGACTCCAAGCCAGTTGGATTAGAAACATGTGACCATCTATGATGTTTGTCCCTGAAGTCACACAGGTCTGTGTACAGCTGGGCCTACTTCCAGGACCTGTACTATGGACTTTCAGAGTTGATGCTCAGTGATGGATGGTCTCTGGTGCTGAGACTCAGAATGAAAATCTGGGTCTAGGAGAGGAGTGTTCTACACTTTGGAAATGGCATTATCCAACACACATTTAATACTAATTATAATTGGATTTAATTTCCCACAAAGCTCAGCTGAAATCCCCCTTTGCCTTCGTACTATTTTCTTGTAGAAGAGCTATAATTAAGTTAGCCATGACATTGTCAGATTTCATTTTGGAATGAAATGTCTCATGCTTGATTTTGGCACAGAAACACTTTCTTTTGGAAAGTGTTATACCCTTTCAGTTGCTTTCTTGTAATAAAAAGTAGAAAAAACCTATCTTCATTTTTGTGTATTTTTCCCAAAAAGGACTTGAGTCTCTGTCTTGAGCTTAAAACTGTTCAGTGTTGTTTTTTGGGGGTGTAGTGCAGTTGTGGGGATAGGGTGTTTACAAAGTAAATGCAAAAATTCTTCAGTTGTTTAGAGGCCACTTTTCTAGCAGCCTTGATTATCTGTAACACAGCCAAGAACATGAATGTAGTAAAAGTAGCTACTGAACTGCCAAAATATTATCAAAACTCCAAGAACCCACACTTTGGCTCACAATATATATGTCTCCTAGATGCTTCTTACCAGTCAACTTATTCTTCATTTAGATACAATAATATAATCCTGGTTATATGATTTCCCTAACCCTCAGCAAATTAGAAGTAAGGATTGAAATGAGAGCCTTCCGGAGGTAGATATCCTGATGTCAGAGTCACAGCTGGAAATCTGACAGCAAGGCTAGGGAGAGCAGAAGTACAAAAAACCGGGAGAAGAGAGACTCATTTATCGAGCTGGACCATGGGGAGGAGACAGAAGCACAGCAAAGAATGAAGGGTGCAAAGAGAAGTTTAGATTTTGACCCATTTAGTGGCTGTGCAATACATTGAGAAAACTTTTCATCTTGTGAAGTTAAATAAAGCAACTTGGAAACTTTGGTTAAACCAACATTCACGTATGTGAAACTTCACCTTTCTCAAAGGATACCACTGAGAAGCCAGTAGTCTTACAGCAGAGGCGACCCGTCACCACGGTCCCGGCAGTCATCAGAGTCCCTGAGGGTGTGCCGCTGGCTAGCCATGGAGGCTGAGTGCAGTACCTGGTGCAAAGTGACGTCACAAATAAATGCCAGCTCTTCTAGTTCCAGAATCAGATGGCATAGGCTCAGTTTCCCCTCTCCAAATATATCTAAATCCTCTGGAAATTATTCTACAGACAGTTGTAAAAGGACCCTGAAAACTGAAAAGACGGAGTACTTGGTGTGGGCCTTAGGATTTGAGGAGTGACAATGAGGTGAGTTCCTTGGGTTCTCTTTTTATCTCTCAGATTGTGTGCGGAAGGGATCTGCAACCTGGGACCTGGGACCAACAACAGACATAGATTAGAAACAAACAGGCCAGGCGTGGTGGCTCATGCCTATAATCCCAGCACTTTGGGAGGCTGATGGGTGGATCACCTGAGGTCAGGAGTTTGAGGCCAGCCTGGCCAACATGGTGAAACCCCATTTCTACTAAATAATAATAAAAAATTAGCTGGGTATGGTGGCATGTGCCTGTAGTCCCTGCTACTTGGGAAGCTGAGGCAGGAGAATCACTGGAACCCAGGAGTTGGAGGTTGCAGTGAGCTGAGATTTTGTCACTGCACTCCAGCCTGGGTGACAGAGCAAGGCTCTGCCTCAAAAAAACAAACAAACAAAAAAACCAAAAAAAAAAAAAAAGGCCAGAGAGAAATGATACATTATCTATACAAGAACACCAATTTGACTGACAGTAGATTTCTCATTTGAAACATGGCAATTTGAAAAAGTGGAACAATGTTCTTCAAGTGCTGAAAGAAAACAACTATCAGGCCCAATTCACATACCCAGTGAAACTATGCTTCAGGGTAATAAACACCTTCACAGAGGAAGAAAAACTAAGATAATTTGTTGCTAGCATAGCTATCCTTAAACAATGTCTAAGGAAGCTCTCCAAACAGGAAGAAAATGATAGTAGAAAAAGGCTGGAACATTCAGAAAGGAAAAAAAAAAACAAAACAAAAACATAATGGTATGGATAGAATTAGAAGTAAACAGACTCTCCTTCATCTCATGAATTTCTTTAATTATGTTTTATGGTTGAAGCAAAAGCTGTAACATCATTTGATGTAGTGCTCAATGTCTGCAGAGGGAATACTTTTAAGAGGATTACATTTAATAAGCAGAGACAATAAAAGGATCTAAATGAAAGTAAGATTTCTATACTTCACTTGTGTTACTGATTTTCTGTATTGTCTTTCTGTTTCAGTTTCATTGATTTCTGCTCTTATATTTACTATTTCTTTTTTTCTGTTTGCTTTTAGTGTATTTATTTTATTTATTTTTTTGAGATGGAGTCTTGCTCTTGTCACCCAGGCTGGAATGCAGTGGTTTGATCTTGGCTCAGTGCAACCTCCGCCTCCCAGGTTCAAGCCATTCTCCTGTCTCGGCCTCCCAAGTAGCTGGGATTACAGGCAGGCACCACCGTGCCTGGCTAATTTTTGTATTTTTGGTAGAGATGGGGTTTCATCATGTTGGCCAGGCTGGTCTTGAACTCCTGACCTCAAGTGATCTGCCTTCCTTGGCCTACCAAAGTGCTGGGATTATTGGTGTGAGCTACCGTGCCCACGCTATTTTGAGTATATTTTGTTTTTTATTTCCCTGGATTCCTTACGTAGAAGTTTAGGTTCAGTTGAACTTCCTTCCTTCCAATGTATGCATTTTATGCTATAAATATGCCCCTTAGCATGGCTTTAGCTGTGCCTCATGACTTTTGATATGTTGTATCTTCATTTTCATTCAGTTGAATGTATTTTTTTTTTAAAAAAACTCTTAAGACTTTGACCTATGGATAATTTAGAAATGTGTTGTTTAGTTTCCAAGTGTTTTCAGATTTTTCTTATTGATGTCTAATTTTATTTCATCGTGGCTAGAGAATACACTGTATGATTTCAATTCTCTCAAATTTGTTGAAGTTTGTTTTATGGCTCAGGATAGGGTCTGTCTTGGTATAAGCTCCGTAGGGAATTATAAAGACCGTATAATCTGCTGTTGTGGGTGGATGTTCTATGAAAGTTGATTAGATCCTGTTGGTTGACGGTTGTTGTTCAGTTCTTCTATACTTTTGCCAGTGTTCTGTCTGGTTATTCTATCAATCGTGGAGAGGAAGGTATTTGAAGTCTCCAGCAGTAATTGTGGATTGGTCTATTTCGCCTTTCAGTTCCGTCAGTTTTTGCTTTGTCTATTTAGCAGTTCTGATGTTGCATATCCATTTATGATTGCTAAATCATTTGGTAGATTGTTTCTTTTATCATTATACCATGTTCCTCTGGGTCTCTGATAATTTTCTTTGCTCTGAAGTCTACTTTATCTGAGATACACATTATATATATAATCTCCATTCATTTGCCTTCAATCTCCTGATACTATTAGGTTTTAAATTGATTTTCATAGATATGATATAGTTGGATCATGCCCATCTCTGTAATTTTAATCTCTGCCAATCTCTGTATTTTAATTGTCATCTTGTTACCATTTACACTTAATGTAATTATTCATATGACTTAAGTCTGACTTTTTTCTCTGTTCTCTTTGTTTGCATTTTTCTCTTTTTTCCTTTATTTCCTGTGGATTATTTAAACATTTTAATGAATTTAGTGTTGGTTTATCTACGGCATTTGTGAATGTCCCTGTATTAGTCTGTTCTCATGCTACCAATAAAGACATACCTGAGACTGGGTAATTTATGAAGGAAAGATGATTATTTGACTCACAGTTTCACGTGGCTGGGGAGGCCACAATCATGGCAGATGGTGAATGAGGAGCAAAGTTATGTCTTATGTGGCAGCAGGCAAGAGAGAACTTGTGTAGGGGAACTCCCCTTTATGAAACCATAAGATCTCATAAGATTTATTCACTACCATGAGAACAGCATGGAAAGACCTGCCTCCATAATTCAATTACCTCCCACAACATGTGGGAATTATGGGCACTATCATTCAAGATGAAATTTGGGTGGGCACACAGTCAACCCCTATCAGTCCTTGTTTGCATGGTATTTTAGTGGTTGCTGTAGGTATTATATTATATATCCATAATTTATCATAGTCTACAGGTGTTATTTTACCAATTTTAGTGAAGTGTAGAAATCTTGTTTGCCTTTATGACCTCTTACTATCCTCATTTATAATATAATTGTTTTAAATATTTCTATTACATAGAACCATATCACAGGGTACCATAATTTTTACTTCAGATGTCAAGCATAATTTAGAAAACTTGAAGAGAAGGAAAGTAATATGATTTGGCTTTGTGTTCTTACCCAAATCTCATTTCAAATTGCAATCCCCATGTATTGAGGGAGGGATCTGGTGAGAGATAATTGGACCATGGGGCAGTTTCCTCCAAGCTGTTCTCACAATGGCGAGTGGGTTCTCATGAGATCTGATGGTTTAAAAGTGTATGGCTTTTTTATGCACTCTCCCTCACTCCTGTTTTGCTCTGGTAAGACATGCTTGTTTCCCTTTTGCCTTCTGCCATGGTTGTAAGTTTCCTGAGGCCCCCCCAGCCATGTGGACTGTGAGTCAATTAAACCTCTTTTAATTATAAATTATCCAGTCTCGGTATGTCTTTATAGCAGTGTGAAAACCAACTAATACAGAAAGTGTGTTATATTTATCCAATTTTTGTTTGCTGTTTTCTTCCTTCCATTCTGATTTTCCAAGATTTCTTCTTTTGTCATTTCTTTTGTATTTATAGAACTTCTTTTTTTTTTTTTTTTTTTTTTTTGAGACGGAGTTTCACTCATGTTACCCAGGCTAGAGTGCAATGGCACGATCTCGGCTCACCGCAACCTCCGCCTCCTGGGTTCAGGCAATTCTCCTGCCTCAGCCTCCTGAGTAGCTGGGATTACAGGCACGCACCACCATGCCCAGCTAATTTTTTGTATTTTTAGTAGAGACGGGGTTTCACCATGTTGACCAGGATGGTCTCGATCTCTTGACCTCGTGATCCACCCGCCCCGGCCTCCCAAAGTGCTGGGATTACAGGCTTGAGCCACCGCGCCCGGCCAGAACTTCTTTTACCCTTTCTTTTATTATAAGTCTGTCTGCTACAAATTCTTTTAGTTTTCTTCATTTGGGAATACCTTAATTTCCCCTTAATTTCTGATATTTTTGTTAGGTATAGGATTCTGGGTGGACAGTTATTTTCTTTAAACACATGAAAAATATGCCATTTCCTTCTGGACTCTGTGGTTTCAAATGAGAAATATGCTGTTATCTGAATTGGTTTTTACCTATAGGTAAGGTGTCATTTCTCTCTTACTATTTTAGGGTTTTTTCCTTTGTTTTAATTTTCAACAGTTTGATTATGATAGATTTTTGCATAGATTTATTTGGTTTGACCTTGTTTTTGGTTTTCTCAGCTTGCTGAATCTTTAGGTATTGCCAAATTTGGAAGTTTTTAGTCATTATTTGCTTTACTAGTTTGTCAGCCCTGTGCTCTTTCTCCTTTCCTTTAAGAACTCTGATAATATAGAAGATGTATCTTTTGTCATAGTCTTGCAAATCCCTATTGCTCTGTTTATTGTTATTTTTCAGGCTACTTTCTCTCTGTTGGTCAGACTGAGTATTTCTGTTGTTCTATGTTCCAGCTCACTGATTCTTCCCTGTCCCCCCACCCCCCATTCTGCTGCTGATCCCATCCACTGAGCCTGTTATTTTAATTACTGTATTTTTCACTTCCAAAATTTCCATTTGGTTGTTTTTTTGTATATCTTCTTTTTCTTTGCTGAGAGTTTCAGTTTATTTGCTGAGAGTTTCAATTTTTTATTGGTTTCTAGTGTGCTTATAATTGTCCATGAAAGCATTTTTATGACAGCTTCTTTAGAATCTTTGTCAGATAATCTAATATATCTGTTCTCTTAGTGTTGGTATCTACTGATACCTCCCTGGCTGAAAAAGATATGAGTGACTCATTTCTGCCCCCCATGCACCCTCAACTGACACCACTGATTATGGGGTGTGGGCCTCATTACACTGGGCTGTGGTGAAATCCTGGTTCTCCACTCTCCTTTGAGACTACACTAGTGGCGGGCGGGGGTGGTGGTGCTTATAACTATGAGTTGAGGGTGAAAATCTGGGGTGACCAGGTAGTCTCTAAAGGCACCATGTAGTGATGGAGGATTCTCATTACTGCTTGGTGGGGATAGA